CGATCACCACACATCATTATTTATCTGTTAATTTGGATGCCCGGCACATTTGAATTTGGCGTGATTTGAGAACAGCAGCGACTGTTTGCCTCTCTCTGGACATCTTATTTGGCTCACTTGTTTGAGTGCTTTTGGCCGCATATTTGAGGTTTGCTTTATTGTAAATTTTGTAATGATTTCGTTAATTCAGTACCGTAGAATATTGCGGATCAATTGTGTTTTTAATTCGGGATTCGTATCGGTTCGGCTACGCGTCACTCAAGTGCGATTTGGTTGACGTACAAGCACCGTTTCAACTCCTAAGGACAGTAGCCTCCAGAGGCTCAAAAGTGCTGCTACCACTGTACAAGACTCTGGTGAGGCCGCATCTAGAGTATCGCGTTCAGTCTTGGGCTCCAAGTCTGGTTCAGGATTCCCAAACACTAGAACGGGTACAACGCAGGTTTACTCGGATGATCGGTGGTATGAGAGGGTTTCCGTATGAAGATAGGCTAAGGAGCCTAAACCTATTCACCTTACAATGGAGGAGACTACGTGGTGACCTGATCGAGGCCTATAAACAACTAAAGGGGAGCTCGGTCACGAGCAGGGTTCTCCTAAGATGCAATGAAAAATCGGCTCTCATGGGCCACGGGTGGAAATTGATGAAACCAAGTGTAATCAGAAACATCAGAGCAAAGTTCTTTGCTCATAGAGTAGTTAACCCCTGGAATAAACTGCCTCAAGAGGTGATCTCAGCACAAACGTTAGCCCAAGTTAAATCCAAGCTAGACAAAAATTGGGCGGTGGTATTCCCACAGGTAGCCTTATAATCAGAGCCTTTTTATCCACGGTATGGCCGTTATGAAGCCCCGCGTGCTCTGTCTCTTACGTCTCTCACCATTTGCTCCTGTGTTCTTACCGCAATTGATAACTGACCGACGATAAGCCTGTGGTAGGCACAACGGTGTGCATGCAAGCAGATATGCATCGCTGACCCTGCATAGGTGAAAGGAGCATCACGGAGCATCATTTTCCTCCGAAATTAGCCCAAGCCTTACGAAGGTCAGGGAGACAAGTGAGGACGGTGAGCCCCATGTGTACCTCTTATCAGAACGACTGTGAGACCAAATGGCGGCAGGGAAGCTGATGCGCCCATACCTCACAAATATCCAACAACCCACTGGCCAAAGTGGTGAGCGTGGTTCACTCCCCCGGAACTAAAGAGGTGAGTGGTAGAAGACCTGTAGTGAACGGAGTCGGGAACGACAAACCCAATTACGATTCACAGAGGCATCCACCGCTCCAATTGAGCACCGGCCCTGTACCTAATATAGACCTGAAGGGGGAGAAGAGAGTGAGAAAAATAAAGGGCGATGGATAGAGGTTTCAACGTGATGAAAAAAGGCACGCACTCTTTTTGACCAAAGACGGATTTGCAGCTGGAATAGGTAGATGAGGGAACAGAGGGGCACCATACCGACCACCACTATCCTCCTAAACCGGATCTAGGCTAGGCCCTGGATGGACTGCAGCTGGTACGGTTTTGCTCTGAGAACCTGATAGGGTCAGCAATGCTACCGTGCCGTAGACAGA